GCTGTCTCCCAGTTTTATATCTTGAGAATGACTCTCTCCATCTTGCATTCACATATGACCCGAGGAATATAACACAGATATTGGGTTTCCTGGCTTCCTAGATCAGTCAGAGTGAAGTTTGACATGGATAGATGGAGTCAAACTAAAGTGCCCTCAGGAAGTTGATCATAAAGATAAATGGACCCACTGTTAATAAGTGTAATTATGTTCAAAAAAATTGAAATTGAGTTTAAGTCTGTTAAATACTCCTCCCTTTTTGAGCTCCAGATAGGTGTTTGCTCGTTATAAAGAATTTTACAAATCTACTGCACCTTTTTTTAAAATGTTTTATTTATTTGAGAGAGGGAGAGAGAGTGTGTGTGGGCAGGGGAGGGGCAGAGAGAGGGAGACACAGAATCTCAATCAGTCTCCAGGCTCTGAGCTATCAGCACAGAGTCCAACGTGGGGCTGGAATCCATTAACCTGAGCTGAAGTTGGACCCTCAACCACTGAGCCACCTAGGTGTCCCTCTACTGCAACTTTAATAAGATTTTTTAAGCAGCGATACCTTGTCTTAGTTTTTAGTTTATTTATTTATTTAGAAGAACATCTTATTTATTTGAGACAATAACTCTTATCTCGGGTCACAAGAGTAGTTTTATCTGGAATGGATGTGAACTTGGATTCCTGGCATGGCAGTCCATAGATCACATGATACTCTCCCATATCACTGGTCTTTTGATAATTCTTCAATCTGAGAATTTCCTGGAATCACTTTACCCATAGCCTTCCCACTAGTGATCCCTCTGGCACTAGTTGTTCACTGTGTCAAGAAAAAATATGGGACCAGGTAGTCAGACTAAGTTATTCAGCAAACTCATTAAACCCTAGACCAGCTCAGGCACCCTTGTTCATATCTGCTTTCTGGTGGTTACACAAGGTAGCAGTATTGATTTTAGACAACCGTGTCACTTGATAATTGCTTACAGCCTTGAAAAATGTCTGCTAGATTAAGAAGGCAAAGGGCAAAGTTTATAGCTCTTTAATATTTTATAGACTTTTGGTTTATTTTTCTCTTTGCTCTGCCTAGAACTGAAGCCCGTTGAGTTCTTCTCAAAACTCAGAGAATGATGAATCCCAAATGTGACAGAGCCCTGTGTGGTTACAGTGACTTCTCTGGTGTTTGTCTCTTTTGGTCTCTCAGATGTTCCTTCAGGAAAGGAAGGAGTGACAAATCTAAACTGAGAGAGCTGACATCAGGGACCAGTGGAATGGAATCCTAGTTCAGTTCCTGTATCAGGAAGATTTCATATCAAATAAAATAAATATGAAATGTAGGGAAAAAAGGACTCCAGAAGGACAGGAAACACAATTTAAATTACTAATACTAGGCAATTTATATATGTTACTTTATTTAATCCTTGGAACTACTCTGCGGTGTTATTGTTACACACCTATTTTACAAAAATGGTGGCTTTCTGTGGTTAACTAGCTCTCCAAGTATGTCCAGCTCGTATACTATTTCAGAGCAGGACTATCTCAGTGTAAAACACAGACTTTTCAAATACATTTTGTTCCAAGGAAACAAGACAGCATTCAATACAACAATGTGAAGTTGACTGGCACATTTCCTAAAATATATATTTTGGCAGATCTTTTTCTATAATGATCTCCATTTAGAATTACTGTTAACTTTTCTTAGGTCAAAAGAGCAGTATCCATTAAGACACTGTATACTATTCTGGAAGAAATATGTTCACTCACATTATCTGGCCCGTTAGATTTAAATGTGGCAAAGGTTTGGTGCAAAAGGACCCAGGACCTCTTGGCACCTAGGGCCACTCCCTTAAACACACACACACACACACACACACACACACACACACACATATAGAGAGAGAACAGAGCTTTTTCCTGAGTCTGGTTCAGGCCTTTCAATCATTGATATTTATGTAATTTGTTAAGCCCAGATGAAAATTTCAGAGTTCTCCCCTACAAGTTTTTTTTTTTAATTTTTAAAATGTTTTCTTTATTTTTGAGAGAGAGAGAGAGACAGCACGAATAGGGGAGGGTCAGAGAGAGAGGGAGATACAGAATCTGAAACAGGCTCCAGACTCTGAGCTAGCTGTCAGCACAGAGCCTGATGCGGGGCTCAAACCCAAGAACCATGAGAACACGACCTGAGCTGAAGTCGGATGCTTAATCAACTGAGCCACCCAGGCGCCCCTACAAGTTTTTCGAAAAACAGCTATGTCTCTCTGTGCCAAGTGGATGATAAATAACTTGTCACATGTTATCATAATTATTGCTATTGTTATATAGCAATAATAATAACTTTATATATATATAATTTCTATCCCAATTTTACAGATGAGGCAGTGAATTCAAAGTTGTAGAGATTTGTGCAAGTTCACCCAGCTAAATGACAGCTCGGATTTGAGCCCGTGTCTGTCTCAATCCTGAAATTGTTCTCTTCCTTATGACATGTTTACATTTGCCCTTTTACTCACAAAACCTCTGCTTGGATGGTATTTCTACCTTTGTTGTTAGCTGTGGGTTTTGTTTTGTTTTTAAGGCACTTGTAAAAAGAGAAGCACCAAGGGAAAATGATTAATACCTCAGAGTCACATGGAGCTGGGTTTTAATTCTACTTGTGATCTAACCACCTTTGTTGTGTCTTCGTTTTGGGTTGTTAATCCCATCTAGGGACATTTTCAGATATTGTGTTTTTCAAATCTTGAGAGTCTCTTTGGTTCACTGTTTTGTGTGTCAATGTCTCTGCTAATTCCATCATATTTCAGTCCCTTTCTTTTAACTCATTTTTTTCCTGAACATGGGTCACATTTTCCTATATCCTTATAGGTTTAATAGTTTTCTATGGAATGTCAGACATTGTAGTTTTTTATGTTTTAGTGTGCTGAATTTTATTTTGTTTGTTTAAAGAATTTTGGATTTTGTTCTGTAAGTGGTCACTGGTTGTAGATTAGTTGGGTTTTTTCCAATCTTGTTCTTAAGCTCTTTCAAGAGAGGTCTAGATCAGTCTTTACTTTAGGACTAATTTAGCTTCATATTTAAGAGTGGCTCTTTTGGGGTTCTTCATTGAATGCCCTATGGATTCAAGAAGGTCTCTCCTAGGTGGCCAGTGGGACTTTGAATGATTTCCAACCCTGAACGCATTCTTTGGCTTCAGGCTCCATGACATTTTTTTTCTTCCTCTGAACGTTACACTTGTTGAGCCTTACAGGGCTTCACCTGGTGTGTACACAGATTAGTACTCACCAAAGACTCAAGAGTGCCCCTCTGAAAATTTCTGGAACTCTCTCCATAACTAGCTCCCTCCTTTTGGGTACTCTGCTCTGCAAGTCCTAGCTGCTTTGGCCTCCCCAAACTCCGATTTCTGTTTCTTCAACTCTGAGAGATTGTCTAGAGAGGCTCCCCCTCCCTGCAGCCTAGTCTAGAATTGCCTCCAATCAGAAAGCCTCATTTGCTTCCACAGCCTTCCGCTGCCTATCATCCAGTGACTACAAAGAGCTGTTGTCTATATTTTATCTAGTTTTCCAGTTGTTTACTCTGGGAGGGTAATTCTTGACCCTATTACTCCCTCACGACAGAAGTGTAAGTCCCAGGGCACCTGGATGGCTCAGTTGGTTGAACGTCTGGCTGCGGCTCAGGTCATGATCTCACTGTTGTGTGTTCCAGCAGTGCATCAGGCTCTGTGCTGACAGCTCAGAGCCTGGAGCCTGCTTCAGATTCTATGTCTCCTTCTCTCTCTGCCCCTTCCCTGCTCATGCTCTGTCTCTGTCTCTCAAAAAATAAAACAAAGTGTTAAAAAATAATTAAAAAAAACAAAAACAAAAAAAGAAGTGTAAGTCCCTGTGGTTGGAAATGTTATTTAACTTCTCTAAATCACAGGTGGTTTTTTCTTTTCATTCTTTTTAAAAGTGGAGATAATAAGACCTGCCTCTCAAGCCTATTATAAAGATCAGAAATAATATTAATGTATTCTCTTAGTACTGCACAATATTTGCAATAAATATGTCTATGCCTTGGTTTCCTTATTCGTGCAATGGGAGTTGTAATAGCACTTAAATCATAGAGTAATTGTGTGGATTAAATAAATTAAGATGTATCATTTGCCAAAAGTAACATAATAAGGGTTGTGTTCATTACATAAAAATTTTATTTACTTTTTTCAATTTTCATCCAAGTTAGTTAGCATCTGGTACAGTAATGATACTTAAATTAAAATTTTAGACAATCACGGGATGTTGTCTGCTACTAGAAGAAAACAGTCCTACCACTAACAAACAGTAAACACACTTGGAGTTCAGAAAACATGCAAACAATTTCTTAACTTTTCCCACTGTGATGCTTTTCAGTTTATAGAGACCACCTTTCATGGTTGTCCAGGGCTCCATCTCTCTCTTCTCCTGCCCTTCATTTTCCCTATGTCTTAACCTCTCATCCATTCCCTGCCCAGTTATCCAGTTCAATCCTGGCTGCACGATACAATGTTCTCAAAATCATGATGACCATATTTACCTGCATCTTTGAGCAGCTTTGTGTACCTTTTACTGTTGATCTTAGGAAAGCTTAGATCTTTTCATTTTTTAATGTTTTTTATTTATCTCTGAGAGAGAGAGAGAGCATGATCAGGGGAGGGTCCGAGAGAGAGGGAAACACAGAATCCAAAGCAGGCTCCAGGCTCTGAGCTAGCTGTCAGCACAGAGCACGACGTGAGGCTCGAACCCACAAACCATGGGATCATGACCTGAGCCAAAGTTGGACACCCAACCGACTGAGCCATCCAGGCACCCCAGGTCTTTTCATTTTGTCAGAAAAGATCATATACAGGAAAATCTTTCTTTTGTTAATCTGGACCACTTCTTAGGACGTTGATATGTTTGATGTACTAAAGTCTCTGTTGCTTTACAATGTTTTACCGAAGAATCGCTGAGGGCTGGGGATGGGGGGAAGAAAAGAGGAGGTGGTAAATACCAAGTATATAAAGCTTTATGAGAAGTATGTTGTATGTAGTATATATTAAGTAGGTGGATATTGCCATGGGAGTGGATACACAAGTAACATTGTTACCTAACCAAGTATTAATATGAAGACTTGGGAAAATAGGAAGTCAATTGTGAAATATAATCAGAGGGGTGTAGATGGACTATATTGCCCCTGAACTTGATCAGTTAGGTATAATCCAGACTCATCTGTTGTCAATTCCATAATTCAGTACTTCCACTGCTCTCTTTCTAATATCTTAGAGTCCCTTGTTGCATTGTCATTCAGTTGAATACCTCCTTGCCAAGTCCCAATCCTGGATGGGCTGTGGATCTTCTCTGCCTCTGTTCAAAGCAAGGTAAGTTGATGTCATTATTACCTTAGGGTCACCAAGCAACCTAACCAGCTGTATTAGTCAATAAATACATGCATATGCATTAAGTATGAAATATACATGTTGTGTGTCAATATAGTTATATATTGATGCCTAGTCTTTCTTCCATCCTTCCTGCGAAAGACCAAGCCTGCCATGAGCTCCATCTCTTTCTCCTCTTTCTACTGGCTTCTTCCAGTCAATGGGTTGTCATGATCACCTCAGAAACCAAAATAAAGAATTATCAAAGCCTTCCAAGTTTGAATATCCTATTCTTTCTTCCATTTTACTTTTCTCCTCCATGTCGTAATCAAACTTTTGTTGGCATCACCTACATTGTTTTTCCCATTTCATCTTAAAAGCATTGACATCTGGCTCCCACACAGACTACTCTGTTGAAAATTCTGTTCATGAAAGTCACTAATGACTTCCATGTGATTAACTCCAATGTATGCTTTTGGGTACTTTCTTTGCTTATCCACTCAGCAGCTTAAGACACTGTTAGACTACCCTTCTGTGTGAAAGCTGGTTTCCCTTCTACTGAGCCAGACACTCCACCCTTTGTGGTATCCTCTTCCACTCATTCCTTAAATAATGTTGTGCCTCAGGGGGTGCTCTTAGGGTACTAGGTTTTCTCATTCTGTATATGGAAGTTCTACAGCCAGACAGTCCATAAATGGAAAGAGAAGACGCTCCCAACCAATCTTACTCCGATCTACTTTTATGTCATGCTATACAATTTGATTATACTTCACTGTTTTTCCCTTCTCACCCTACCTAATCCAGTTAAGCTTCATTCCTGGGACCTTTATTGCTGGCTCACCAAACAGACCAGGAAGATAATAAGCAATCAATAAAAGTTTGTTGAATGAATTAATGTCATGAGGAGGACCAGTACATGTTGTATAAGTGCTTTTAGAGCATGCACCATCTTGATCCTCCTCTCTTTGGATTAATTGACGTTTACTGAAAAAAAAAAAAGTTGATGCAAGATAGGCTTCATCTTATTTCCAGCTGTGACTGATTCATAGGGGACCGAGCTCAGAGAGCTATTTTGAATGTACTTGTCCAGGGGTCAGTGGGAAAGTGTTACAGTCTATTAATACTGTCATGCCTCATACAAATAACATAATAATATCGTTTATTGAGACACAGACCATCTGCCAAACACTGTGATAAGCACATTATTTCAGTTAGAGGTCACAACAGCTGCATGAGATACTGCTATTACCCTTGTCTTTACATTGACATAACGGAGACACAGAGATGTTAATTGCTTAGGCAAGAACACACAGGAAACACAGTAAAGCTGAGATCTAAAATGCATTCTTAGGGGCGCCTGGGTGGCTCAGTCGGTTAAGCATCCGACTTCTGCTCAGGTTATGATCTCATGGTTCATGGGTTTGAGCCCCGAGTCAGGCTCTGTGCTGACAGCTAGCTCAGAGCCTGGAGCCTGCTTTGGATTCTGTATCTCCCTCTCTCTCTGACCCTCCCCTGCTCACGCTGTCTCTCTCTCTCTCTCAGAAATACATTTTTTTAAAAAACACATTAAAAATATAAAATGCATTATTAGACCACTAGTTGCCATGAACTTTTGGATTCCTCTTGTCAACAGTGCAAGGTGATACCAGGCTCTAAGTAATTAATGTTATCCTGCCATTCTTTGGTTGAATTTAAAATGCCTTTCCTACAGGGGCACCTGGGTGGCTCAGTCAGCTAAGCATCCTGACTTAAGTTCAGGTCATGATCTCACCACAGTTAGTGGGTTTGAGCCCCACATCAGGGTCTGACAGCTCCAAGCCTGGAGCCTGCTTTGGATTCTGTGTCTCCCTCTCTCCCCCTCCCCTGCTTGTGCTCTGTCTTTCCCTATCTCTCAAAAATAAATAAAACTTTAAAAAATATTAAATGCCTTACTAATGAACTATTGTGGTATGTTTTGAACACAGAGAGGTAATCAGAATTTTTTTTTACAGCATTAGTGTTTTTTGGATTGACAATAATGTTAAATAAATTTGTGGAAAAAAGGTGAATAAATAAAAATGTATATTTGAACAGGAAATTTAAAAATCACTTACAAAGTCCATTCTAGTGAAAGATAGATTGCCACTGTTAGTTTATTCTATTTTTTTCCAAAGACTTTGTCTTAATCCGTGATACTTAAGTCTTAGCACTTTTTTCATTATCATACTTTTCCACTGTTTTTCTCTAAAGTAGTATAAACTGTCAGTAGATTCCCTTAATACCATCCTTAAACTTAGACAAAAGGGACACACACACTAGGCTTTGCCATTTCATGGACTTTGAATGTTATTCATGACCCCCTACATGCATACACACGTGTACAAGCACACTCAAGCACATGTACACATGAACATGCACACACACAACTTGCTTCTTAATGTTTTTTATTTATTTTTGAGAAAGAGAGAGACAGACCATGAGTTGGGGAGGGGCAGAGAGAAGGAAACACAGAAACTGTGCACAAGCAGGGGAGGGGGAGAGAGGGAGACACAGAATCCAAAGCAGGCTCCAGGCTCTGAGCTGTCAGCACAGAGTCCCATGCGGAGCTCAAGCCCATGAATCGAGAGATCATGACCTGAACCGAAGGCAGATTCTTAACTAACTGAGCCACCCAGGTGCCACACACACACAACTTTTTTAAAGAATACCTAGTGTCTGTGTCACTTAGGATCTCAAGACTGGGGAAAGAATACTCAGGAAGGAATGGGCCAGGGCACCTGAGTGGCTCAGTCAGTTGAGTGTCTGACTTCGGTTCAGGTCATGATCTCATGGTCCCTGAGTTTGAGGCCTACATCGGGCTCACTGCTGTTAGCCTGTCAGTGCAAAACCCACTTCAGATCCTTTGTCCCCCTATCTCTGCCCCTTCTGTGCTTGTGCTGTCCCCAAAAAAATAAATATTAAAAAAAAAAAAAAAAGAATGAGCCAACTATCCCCAGGGTGGACACAAGGCTGGGAACATCTCATGCTTCCACCAGCCAGAGTGCAAAGACTTCCTAGCACAGGGAACAGTGAGTAGAGTCCTTATAAGGATGGTCTTTTGGTAGTGAGATGACATTACCCTACACTATAAAGTCTGCTCCATCCATGCTAACAAAGTTTAAAAATAAGCCCCAAAGGAATCAAACAGATTCCAAGTAATTCAACTATGTTCTGAAACAAATCCCAACCATATATAAAGGACTTAACAAATCCAGTACCCAGTAATGTAGAACTTACAATGTTCTGAATCCAGCCAAAAGCTATCAGGCATACCAAGAAACAGGAATATAGGGCCCAAAGGCAGTAGAAAAGACAATCATGAAACAAGGCCCAGAAGTGACACAAATGACAGAATTAGAAGAGAAGAAGATTTAAACACCTATCATAAATGAACCACATAAACTCAAGAAGATAGGAGAAAAGAACGTGATGAGGAAAGAAATAAAAGATATCAAAAAGAAACAAAATGAACTTCTAGAGATGAAAAATATACCACCTAAAGTGATGAATATACCAGATGGGATTAACATTCAGATAAGATATTGCAAAAGAAATTATCACTGAACTAGACGACATCTCCATAGAAATGATCAAAAATAAAAGAGAAAAACCTAAATGGACAAAACATCAGTGGCCTCTATGATCATACAGGATGGTATGATATATCTGTACTTAAGGTCCCAGAAGGAGATTTTAAAAATGTTGAAAAAGTAAGAAGGTCTGAAACTTTTCCCAATTTAATTAAAATTATAAAGTCAGAGATTCAAGAAGATTAGGAAACTCTTAATAGAAGACACAAAAAGAAAATCACATTAAAGCACATTATCATCAAATTGCTGAAATATAATGGTAGAGAGAAAACCTTAAAAGCAGTTTGGGAAAGAGAAGACATATTATGCAAAAGAAATAAAATTAAGATGACGTCAGTCTTCTCTTTAGAAATTGTGCAAGCCAAAGGATTATGAAACAACATCTTTACAGTACTGAAAGAAAAATTATCTCAACCTAGAATTCTATACTCAGCAAAAACATATATTCAAACTGAAGGCAAATGCTTTTTCAGACAAACAAAAAGCCAAGAGAATTCATGACCAGCAGACCTGAGATACAAGAATTACTAAAGGATTTAAGAAGAATAATGGTTATTCAGGAAAAATGATACCAAATAGAAATTTAGATCTACCAAAAGGAAATGAACAGCACCAGAAATGGCAACTATGTGGGTAAATATATGATAATGAGTAAATATAGAAGAAAGCTTTCCTCATTTTAAAAATCTCTTTAAAATATAAATGACTATTTAAAATAAATACAGTATCAATGTTTGTGGGGTTTAAGACATGAAACATATGACAACAATAACACTAAAGATGAGTGGAAGGAGAAAGAAGTGTATTGTTGTAATATCCTTTACCCTGGACTTTAAGCCATTTGTCATATTATTTGACAGTAAATTGTACTTGAGAAGAAAGTGAATTCCATAGCCTCAGGATTTAGAGTTATAAATACAACTGTCAAATCCATCTAGTCCAATGTGTCATTCAGGTCCATTGTTTCTTTAGTGATTTTCTGTCTAGTTGATCTATCCATTGCTATAAGTAGAGTATTGAAGTCCCCAGCTATTAGCGCACTCTTATCAATACGATTTTTTTCTGTTTGTGATTAATTGTTTTATGTATTTGGGTGCTCCCGAATTTGGCGCGTAGACATTTATAATTGTTAGCTCTTTCTGATGGATAGACTCTGTAATTATTATAGAATGCCCTTCTTCATTCCTTGTTACTGCCTTTACTTTAAAGTCCAGTTTGTCTGAGATAAGTATGGCTATTCCAGCTTTTTTTTTACTTCCAGTAGCATGATAGATAGTTCTCCACCCCTTACATTCAATCTGAAGGTGTCCTCAGGCCTAAAATGAGTCTCTTGTAGACAAAAAATAGATGGAATTTGTTTCTTTATCCAGTCTGCTACCCTATGTCTTTTGATTGGAGCATTTAGTCTATTTACATTCAATATTATTATTGAAACATATGGGTTTAGAATCATTGTGTTCTCTGTAGGATTCATGCTTGTAGTGGTGTCTCTGGTACCTTGTGTTCCTTGCAACATATCCCTCATAGAGTCCCCATTAGGATTCCTTATAGGGCTGGGGTGATGAATTCTTTCAATTTTTATTTATTTGAGGAAAGCTTTATCTCTCCTTCTATTCTGAATGACAGGCTTGCTGGATAGAGGATTCCTGGGTGCATATTTTCTGTTTATCATATTGAAGATTTCCTGCCATTCCTTTCTGGTCTGCCAAGTTCAGTAGGTAGGTCTGCAACTACTCTGATAGGTGTCCTTTGTATGTTAGGGCCCTTTTATCCCTAGCTACTTTCAGAATTCTCTCTTTGTCCTAATATTTTGCCAGTTCCACTATGATATGTCGTGCAGAAGATCGATTCAAGTTACGTCCAAGGGTGTTCTTTGTGCCTCTTGGATTTCAATGTCTGTTTCCTTCCCCAGAGTGGGGAAGTTCTTAGTTATAATTTATTCAAGTACCCCTTAGCTACTTTTTCTCTCTCTTCTTCTTCTAGAATTTATATGATACGGATACTGTCCCATTTGATCACATCACTCAGTTCTCTAATTCTCCTTTTATACTCCTGGATCAATTCACCTCTCTTTCTCTCGGCTTCCTCTTTTTCTATCATTGTGTCTTCTAATTCACCTATTCTCTCTGCCTCTTAAATCTGTGCAGTGGCCAACTCCATATTATTATGCACCTCACTTATAGCATTTTTAACTAATCACAACTATTTTTTAGGTCCATAATCTTTGAGCAATAGCTTCTCTGGTGACTTCCATGCCTTTTTCAAGCCCAGCGACTAATTTTATGACTTTTTGTTCTAAACTCTTGGTCAGTTATGTTGCTTATATCTGTTTTGAGCAATTCTTTAGGTCTCATTTCTTCCTGGGATTTCTGTAGAGGAGAGTTCTTCCATTTTATCATTTTTGCTAGCTTTCTGTTTCTTGTAAGTTTTAAAAGCTTGTTATGGGCTCTGCACCTGTGAGTTTTGCTATATTAAAGGAAGCTCATTGACTGTACATGGCCTCTCCCTTCAGGAAGTGTTCTTTTAATGGTGTCCCTTGGTCTCTCTTGCTGTGCATTTGGTTATTTTATTTCCCTACTCATCGTGGTATTTGGTACTCTCCACCATGTGTACTTTGGCTTGTTTCTTGAGGTAGCCGTGAAAAGGAAAACAGACAAACACACAGGGAACAAAAGTACACAAACGCACAGACAAATCAAACAAGCAAGCAAACCTAAAGGGAAAACAACAACAACAACAACAACAACAAAAGACAAAGAACAGTCTAAAAGCATAAAACCAGAAATCCCTGCTACAAATAAAGAGCAGGGTGGAGGCAGTGCTGATGGAAGAGAGAAATGACAGGGGTGGGGAGAGAGCTAAATTGAACATTGACCAGGCAGAGACACTAAAAAGCTAAATTGAGAGAGATAAAGAGGAGAATATGGTAGGAGGCCAGGAGAAAGAAACTAAGATAATGATAACCAAAGAAACTATATAGTCTGATTATTCCAGAGAGAGAGAGAAAGGAAGGTAACCATAGAGGTGTAGAATATGCATCAAGAGAATGGATTAAATGTGACTGTTTAAGCAAACCAATGACCAGAGTGCCCAGTCCAGCAGAAGGCAGATATAAGAATGAGATAAGGGAAAATATATCTGAATAGCAAGAATTGATCTAGAGTTAATCACAACAATGCATCAATGTTGGTCTTGCCCCCAGCTCCAGTAAATATAAATAAATAAATAATAAATAAATAAATAAATAAATAAATAAATAAATAAAAATAAAAAGCAGCTCTTCAGCTCAGATGGTCATGGTTTGGTGTAGGCAGGTCTCACCTCTACTGTGGGTCCTGTGAGCCACTCCCTGAAGCCCCGCCTTGGTGATTATGGGGGGAAAATTGGCGGCACCCCGGTCCTTCTAAACTCAAGTGTTATAAATCCTCTTTTGGGTCAGATCTCCCTGTTCAGCGGGTGTAGCCAAGGTGGGCCATGTTCTATGTCCCAAGGCCCACCTCATTCCCAAATCTTAGTCTGTGCGCTTTAATGATACCTCCTGAAATGTAATCCCACAGGCCAGTCTGCTTCCCAGCTGGGGATCAAGTAGGGAGAGTAGGGGAGCAGTTTCTTCTGGCACCACCTGGCACCTTCTGGCACCCAACCCAAAGAAAGCACCACACCTAGAGATAGAATCTCTCTCCAAACAACCTGCAGTTAGATATGGGATGATAGGATCCCTCTCCGTCCAGGGCTGAGGTTTTTCTCTTCTCCAGGGACAGTTCTATGAGCAGTTTCAGCTGCTCTGTCTCTTCTCCTGGTCTCTCTACAGCTCTCCACAGAAGGTGCTCCCTCCCATCCGTGCCTCTGGGTCCCGGCCATTTTTTCTCTTCCCCAGCTCGCAATCTCACCTATGATGCTATTTTCTTAGTGGACTCTGTCTCTTTTACTCCCAGGCTCTTGCAGTTCAGTATCCTATGGCTTCATCCCTTCTTTCTTTGAAGATGCAGGCGGGCACAAAGTATGGAGCTCCCTACTTCTCCGCCATCTTGCCTCTCACACAAGTCTCTTAGACAACTTTAAACTTTACAAATCATTTTCAAGTTCATTATCTCATTTAGTCCTCAAATCAACTCCATGAGATAGGTATTATTTTCCCATTAGAAATGACCATATCCTAAGTCCTTAGTGATTTCCCAACAAAAGTTGAATGTTAATGCAGAGGTTGTTTTTCTTTAAATATGGGGATGTTGGATGCTAAAATTAACAGGTATTTTCAGTTCAAGAGAGCAAACTAGGAAAACACATTTACTTTCTGTTCCTCCTGAAACCAATTTAATACAAGTGTAGAAAAAACAAAATTAATAGCAATCAAAGCCAAGGGAATATGGAAGTCATCAACCACAGAAAGATTTTGATACATTTCAAGCGGGCAAAAAGTGAAATGCAGGACTGATGAATAGATTAATCAAGAAAAGACTGTCCAAAGAAGGGTCTGCACAAGGCCAGTGTGCTTCTGTTGAGCCCTGTCTCTGGTCAAGAGAAGAGAGAATAGGTGATGAAAACAAGGAGACAAAAGATATGTTACGGGAAAAAAAAGTTGATTTAATGAGTTCCATGGGTCACTCAGTCTTCCCTCCATAGTAACTCCATAGGAATTACAGCAGATTATTGGTGAGCAAGACAAGGGAACAGGGAGGGAGTGTTGAACCACAGGGTGTCAGCTCTGGTTCATTGTCACTACTACCATCTCCATCCAAGACTATATACCCATGGCTTCATGTACTATAACTGGAGATTGTTGCTTCATAAATTGTCAAATGAGAAGGAACCTTCCTGGCTTCTCTAATTTGTGGTTCTTATCAAAATAAAAATATTTTGTCATAAATTCTGTCTCAACATGTTTGCTTCTGCCCAGGCAAATTATCACAGAATAACCACTTGCCATCTAATATGTTTTGCCTGTAAGGACAAATAAGAAAATGGTCTGTGTTTCAAAAAAGTGTCCTATCTGTCTACTCCAATTTGACAAGAGAAGTTAAGAGGGAGATTTTTCTGGGCTTTCCTTACCCAAATTACCTTGTATTGTCCTGAAGCCCCAACACGCATCATGTGCTTAATTTTTCCTCCCTGAGAAATAAAAGGATGGAAATAACATGATTGTCATTTATTGTTTTCAAATATATCTGACATCATATCTCTTTCAGAGTTCTAATAATAAATCTGTGCCCAAAATTTGTACAAGCTTGCTATTTCTGTTCAAACAAATGCTGCCAAGAAACTCTTCCTTACTGAACTCAAATGATATCAAAGGATTTGTGGTTAAATGTCTTATCTGGAAATCGTTTTTGCTGTTAAAGAGATTAGAAAGGGCTTATAATAGTTCTCCCTTTATTATTTTTCAAACAGAATTAGGGTCTGAGCAAAACCTTTTGTGTCCTACCAACCCCAAAGTTAGTGGGGGATGGAAGTTCAAATTTGCTCTAACATACTATAAAAGCTCTCATAACCAAAGCACTAAAGCTAATTTTGTAATATACGAATTATGCCCAGTGCTATTTTAAATATGAAAAAATAAAGACAGTAAAGCCTTGGTTCAGGAGCATAATTTGTTCCGGAAACATGCTTGTAATCCAAAGCACTTGTCTATCAAAGCCAATTTCTCCATAATAAATAATGGAAACACAGATGATTTGTTCCACAACCCAAAAATATTCATATAAAAATCATTATAATACTGCACTATAATACAAAATAATAGAGAAAATACAAAATATAAAGAAAAATAAACAAATTAACCTGTACTTACCTTTGAAAACCTTCGTGGCTTGTGTGAAGGAGACAAGAGACATCATTATCACTAACGGATGTTGACTGCACTACAGTATTAATAAGCTCTTGTCATATGCTCTATGTAATGTAATTGGCAATAAGGCAGCAGAGGAAAGGGTCTATATCTGCAGGCAGCTGACCTAGAATGAAGCAAACCATTCCTGAGCTTACTCTTGTATGGAAAAGCAAAGAACTGCTCATAGGTGTTTTGAAGTGACAAAAATGACACCAGTGCCAATTGTGGACACCTTCTAATGTTCTGAAAAATCACTGATTTCTGCCAAACACCGTGGCTGAGACAGAGCATCAGAGCATGGGAGACAATCACCCACAATTCCACAGAGAAATAGAGAGAGACTCACAGAGACAGAGAGAGAGAGAACCATTGGCTCAATTGTCATGTGACGTTTGGCATCATGCACTCCTTGTATTGCAACACATCCCTCGTTTACCAAGTTAAAATTAATCAGAAATGCCTACTCATCTTGCAGAACACTTGCAGAACAAGTTACTCACAATCCAGGATTTTACTGTGTGTCTATAATATATATTATATATAAAATTTTTAATATATATATTTTTTGCTGATCTATATGATTCTTGGTTCTGAAACTTATGCATGTCATGTCCCAGATATGCAACATCAGTCACGTGAGCCAAAAACACTTCAATGAAGTAAACCACAGAAAGGAGATTCAAACTGGGTAAAGCCACATGTAAGCCAAGATTTTTTAAACCTTCTTCCTCATGCTGAAGCTTTCAACTCATAGGCAATAATATATGTTTCTCTTCCCAGACACTCATGCATCTCTCCCCTCTTGGTCATAAGAATCTCTAGAATTCTGTTTAAGTGCCAACGATGTGAGGTGAAGAATGAACCTGGCTGGCATGCTCACAACTACCAAATTGTGTTGACCTTTCTTTAATCCAATACGTTGCTCCACTCTTAACGTACAATAAATGACATACTTGCTTTCTGGACATTAGTGAAATGCCTTACTAGACATATTCCTAGAAGGCCAGAGAAACTGGCTTCTAATCCATATGGAATTGGATTCACCACAGGTGAATTTCCTCCAGGGAGACCACAACATATCTAGAATATAATCTCTTCTATTTTGACATATAGTCTTTACATATAATCTTACATATTTGGATTCTTCCGAATAGACCAAAGAGAAAATCTGGGCTGCAAGGCTCAGTTACAAATGTGGGATGGTACTATGCCTACCGCTGGTGGTCCATGACCTACATCTTCTGAGACCAGAACCCACTGTGGTCTCTGATTATTTTATGAATTGAGCTTTTGTTCAACGAAGGCCCGGTCCTGGGCAGTGCCTGTACTCACTGTAAATATGGCACCGTGCTAAGTACCCTAAGAAATAGGAAAAAGAAAAATAAAAGATGGTAACACGTGATGCATATATGGTAAGGAGGCACCACAGTCCAGAGTAAGAGCTCTGGGAGTCGCTCCACTGAGCTTGAATCCCAGCTAAACCACCACCACCTGTGTGACCTGAGGAGCGGTCTATATTATAAATGCTGTTTTGCCAAAGTCTTCAAAAGGAAGAAAGCAAGAACCAGCCTGTCAGGAAGGAAGGTCTTGGGGCGCAGCATCCGGTCAGGTTAGGGTTTGGCGACCGCTTGGAAACTGCCGCCGTCTGGAGGGCGATGCTGAAAGCCTGGGCAGCCCCAGCGAGGATGCAGCTGGCTCGAAGCCTCGCAGGGAAGCAGAGACGGTCCAGAGGCAGCGGGCCACTCCCTTGCAGCTTTGAGAGCCCCCCAGCACTCGTCTTTCTTGGGGGAAGGGCTGGCGACACATACCGAGGCGCTGAGGGGCTCAACAACCACGGCACTCACCTACAGTCCCCAAGCTGTGGCCTTGCTGGTTGTCCACACACGACAACGGGCGCACGGACCAAGGGCAGCAGGCAGCCTATACCCCGCCACTGGCTACCGAAAGTCCCAGGCACTGGAGCCTAAGGGGCGAGGCTCTGGGGCCTCCCCTTTGCCCTGTGCTGGGGCCTCCTGCCGCGCTGCGCGTGCGCGCCCTTCTTTGTGACGTGTCCCAGGGATGCATCACTAGGGCCAGGCTGGGTGTTCAGTGGGTGTTTGACCTCAAGAGGAGTAGGAAGCTCTGGAGGGGCTCTAGACTCCAACCTCGCGACGTTGGGCGCACAGCCAGCTCACTATGGGCAATCTGCTTAGTAAATGTCTACATCTCCCACTCCGCCGCCGCCGTCCCCTGCCTGGCCGGGATCGGGCCCTGGTCCGCCCCGCCCGTGATCCCCATCCACCACCTGGCAGGGGCCACCCCGCTGCTCCTTCACCTGCCCTGCACCCTGGGCGCAGGCTCTTCCACCAGGTACGTAGGCCTTTACCGGCCACCTTTCATATCGAGCCGAGGAGGCGGTACCCCATCCCGCAGGCTGCATGGACCACTCCGGGCATTCTCCCCTTGGTTAACTGGAGTAACCCTCCGAAAAAACCTGTCCTATCGTCTCGTAATTCAATGATGTTTGGGCACTCCAGAGCCATCAGAATCCCTCCTCCAGGGCGCAAATTACGACTCCAGCGTTTGCCATCAGAGACTGGAGAGGGGGCTGCGGAGCCGGTCCCATCCAGGGGCCTCCCACTTTCGTGCCCAAATGGGAGGGAGGAGAAGACCCAAAAAGAGCCCACAGGAAAGATGGGGGAACCTGTGGAGACCAAAGGGCGGGATGGTGGGAGCAGAGCCCCCCATAGCTGCGGGGATATACAGTTAACATCTAGTCCCCTGGAGGCCAGTGAACTTAGCTCCAGGCAGTGCAGCCCTGCGCCTTTGAACCTCCGTCCTGGTCCTTCAGAAGACAGTCGGAGGAAGGACACCCACCAGGATCAGATTCACTCCTCCCCTGATGGCCATGTAGTCACCGCCTCACATGGCGCTGCCAGAGATGTGCCTCACACAGATGTCGCCGTGCTCTCCCACCCAGCCCCATGCTGCCCCTCACTGCAGGAGACATCAGCCAAAGAATTGTCAGGGGGAAACCATCAGCCTGTCGGCAAGAAAGAGAAACAGACTAAGGAGCCTTCAGACACATCATCAAGGAGCTCCTTGCCCCCCGTAGCTGCCAGCAGCAGGGCCTGCAAATGGAAGAGACCCATGCCAGCTTCTCTGCCGCTGCCACCACCACAGCCACCGTTGTGGGGCCGCGGGGAGTTGCCTCTGCCTCCTAAGCTTCCTTGCATAGCTCTGGACAAAAACCTGGACACCGTGAAGAACACCACATGTCACAGGAACAACATCTTGGGGGACAGAAGAGACATCAAAGCAGCCTGCTCGGACCCTCTGCCTGCCCCTGCATTCTCCATACTTGCAACAGGGACTGCTAACTGTCTCCCGTCCAGCATGAACACTGTGCAAGTCCCTATTGCTCCAGCAGGCTTGGCTGACCAACCTGCCAGGCCCCCAATCCCATCTGTTCCTCCATCTTTACCACCAGGTGTTGTAGTTTCCACTAGCTTGTCCCTTGGGGGTTCTGGTGTCACCTCCACTCCAGTAGGCAAGCTCCCTGCAAACTGTCACTCAGCTTCTGACGGTGAAGCCATGGACCCTACATCTCCATCTCGGGCTTCCATCATGTATTCCTCCCCTGTGTCCAGGGACACCCATGTGCCACCTTACATAGTGGTTCCAGGATCTGAGAAGACACCACCCGGTAGCAGGACTGTTGTGGCCCAGGTAGCATTTGGACACCATGCTACTTCTGCCTTAAATCCAGGCACTGGGGGCCCACCCACTTTGCCAGTTAGTGGAGCAGTGGGCCGAGATGGCAGCATGCCCACAGGTAGAGACTCTACAGTCTCCATGAGTGGTAAGTGTGCTGGGGGTCCATCAAGGCAGAGAAAACATCCCCCATCTGAATGTGTTGCCATCCGGGAGAAGAGGTGCCAGTCAAGAGATCAGGCAGCATCCCCCTTTAATCCTAGCAGCAAGGGGCCAATCTCCAAAACCCCAGGTGGTGGAGCAGTGGGAGATGACCACGGTCCTCCCAGAGATGGAGACTCAGCTGTTCCTGGGACCCATAAGCACTCCCGGGAGTCATCTACACAAAATCAAATCGTTCCGTGTGGAAGAGCCTCTATGTTGGAGAAGACACGTGTGTCAAGAGACGTGTGCGTTCACCCCCCACAGATCCCCTGCAGCTTGCCGGCCCACACTGCCTCTGTTGCAGTGCAAAGTGGCAGCACTGTGTCTGTACTTGCAGCCACATCCACATGTAGTTCCACGGTGCCTCCCAGTAACGGCGGTCTATCTGCCCAGCAGACAGTCAGTAAACACGGAGGGGACAAGGTCATTGTCACAATGGGAGGACCTGGTACTCGTGCGTCCCGGAAGAATAATTGTGGAGGACCCAAGGCAGATCCAGCAGGAGCTGTCGCAGATGTGGACACTATCACATCTATGATGGCAGGCCTCTCTGTCAGCACCCGCCCGAAGAACACTGGGAGCTCACTTACCCCTAACACAGGTGGTGCTCCAGGGAAGATCCCCACGCCTGCTATGACCGGATACACTTACGGAACCTCATCCGCACACAGCGCATGTGCCCCCCCTAAGCACAGTGCAGGTCGTGCGATGGGGGACACCACCATGAAGTTTTAAACAGAACTTGGGCTCGCCCTAGCCAGGTGCTCCTCTGGAGGAGCAAGCACTGTGTTTATCCTGGTCACCTGTGCCTGTGCTCTGGCCATGACTAGAACACCTTCATAACCTGCCGAGGGCTTCATCAGAGCCACCAAACAATTCCTTCCTCTCGTCATGAATCTCAACAAATAAGGATCAAATATTCCTCTGTAAATTGAATACAACCAGAAATGGATTTTGTTGCACCAGAAAGGGGCCCAACCCCTTTAAGTGACACTTAACCTGATCTCTTCATACAGCAAGTGTGTACCTTGTGTGCACATGTGTATTTTTGTGTTGTTCTGTGCACGTGTGTGTTTTGGAGGGCGAGGGGCGCATGAGCCCCAGTGTAGAACTACTCCAGAACAACACCAGATTCAAGAAGTTCCAATGGTGGAAAATAGA